CCCACACCCCGTGCTCTGCCTGCCGCAAGGAGTGTTTACTGTAAATGTGCTGATCAAGGGGTCCTCTGGCTCTGGTTGGTTTTCTTGTTCATTTCGCTTATCAGAGTTTCCCAAACTTTTGACATATATGTACCCCTTCTATAATTTTCGTAACGCTGAGTACCCCTCGTTCTCATGAGAACGTAGAATTAGGCGCAGCTAAGCATGGTGCAGTGCATATCCCCACCAAACTCCGGTGCAACGAGTACCCCCACCAAACTCTTCCCGTACCCCTGGGGGTACGAATACCACACTTTGGGAAAACACTGGCTTAAGTCCTCTCCTGAGGCCTCTCAGAAAACCTCCCCCTCCCCCTTCCCCAAGCCACGGTCCTTCCTTGCCCAATGCCCCAGAGCACCGGAGAGGTGGTGGTGAGGTGCCTTGAGAAGCAGAGGGCGAGAGCAGGGGCCAGTGAGGGCTTCCGCTCATGCTGATGGCCGAGGAGGGTGGCGCTGGCAGCAGGAACCAGGGAAGAGATGCCAGGTCCTACCCCAAGGGCAGAGCTTGTATTTCTTCTCTCTTGGGATCTTGCCTCAGGGACAAGCTAGACTGGGGCCTGTCTGGGGAGGAAGCTAGTGACTGAGCATGGCCCCTCCCCCCTTAGTGCCTCCCTTTCCCACATCAATTCTTTCTGCTGCTTTTTCTCATTCAGTTGAGTATTAATAGACCAAAGGTCTCTGCTAAGCCTTCCCAAAACAAGCCATCTGTCGATAAAGATTTCTGGGAGTCAATTGACCTGGTTCAAAAAAATGGCTAGGTGTGTCCTAAGAAACATCCAGACCTGTAGATAATTCTTATGAGTTTATTTGGGCCAAACTGACAAAAATTTACGGGAAGAGAAACCTCAGTGGATGGGAAAAGTATTCTGGAGAATGGCAGTTTTGCAGCTTATTTTATACATTATAACCAAAGGAGGTGATGTACGAGGGTTTCCATGGAATGCATTGGTGATAGATTACGGGGGCTGGGAAGCAAAGCAGAAGGGATAAAGAGTAACACAGAGTTGGGCACAGGATAGTTAACAGTTAACATGTACAGCACACAGAGATGGTGTCTGGGAATCTGTGGTTTTGTGCTCTGGTGTGAATGGTTGTGCCCTGAGGGACCTGGGAAAGGGGATTACTCTGACATTTCAAAGGAATGTAGACACACACATACACACACACACACACACACACACACACACACACAAAAAAAAAAAAAAAAAAAAAAAAAAACCAATGGACAGCTTCCCGTAAGGTCAAGATTGACTTTTGTCAAGGTGTTGTGGGCAACAGGTGTTAGACAGTGGAGTCAGATAGGAACTGGATTCAGCAACCTCAGTACTTGAGTTCTGGCTAAGAAAAAATTCAAAAGCAAGACTCAAACTATATGAGAGCATTTTTATTGATAAAAATCAGAGGTAGAAGAAGTAATTCATTGAAGAAATGGGCTGAGGAAAGTGAGGAAGGTAATGGCAATGGCAATGGTAATGGTAATGGTAATGATAATGGTGATGGTAATGGTAATGATAATGGTGATGGTAATGAACGGGGTGGGGGGGGGTGAGCCCAAGGGGTGAGGGGAGAGGTAAAGTGTAGGCTTGCTCCTGGGAGGGACAGCCACTAGATCCTCTGTCTTTGGGGTATTAAGGGAGGAGAGTGTAGGGGAGGTCCCAGGGGAAGATCTCAGTAGAATACTCAGCAGATCTCCAGGTGTGTCCTTTCAGGGGCTGGGTCTCCACGGATAGATTGGCTGGCACCAGAGCAAGGGGTCTTTACCCAGTGCAGCTGGTCCTGAGGTCAGCCTTGGCATTGCTTTTCTGTTTTTGTTGCTTTTCTGGACCTGGAGCTAAACACAGCTGAGGCCTAGATGCTATCTCTAGGGAGGAAAGGTCACCTGGGTGGTGAGGTCTCATCCTACAATTGTTCTTTGCTAGGCACCCAAGGCTTTCCCCCTGGTGACCTTTTGTAATCTGGCCCATCACTCTTACTCACCTCATGTCTGTCTAACTGCTTACCTCAAAGGAAGCTTTTAGTTGGGAATATTTTAAAAATACGTTTTTATTTATTTCAGAGAGGAAGGGAGAGGGAGATAGAAACATCAATGATGAGGGAGAATCACCAGTCGGCTGCCTCCTGCATGCTCCACATGGGATCGAGCTTGCAACCCGGATCTATGCCCTTGACTGGAATCAAACCCAGGACCCTTCAGTCTGCAGGCGACTCTATCCACTGAGCCAAACCAGCCGGGGCTAATTAGGAATTTTTATGTTCAGACCATCCTTATATGGTTACTCTCACGCCTCCCCTGAGCTGGTCAGGTTTACTGTGTGGCCCCTTTTTTGTCTACGGTGGTTCTGCTCCAGCTCAGGGCCCTCCATCCTGCCTCTCAGGCCCGCTCTGATCTAGCCCCCTCCTGGTTGGAACAAGTCTGAATGAACCAAGCTGCTGAACTTATTTCTGAGCTCTCCTGAACTCTGGGTGCTCGGCGATGGGCAGGACCTGCACACTAGCTAGGGGGTGGGTTTTGTGATAGAACCAAGAAAGGCCTCCATCCACTTTCCCAGAGAAGTCCTGGAATTGCCATGGGCCTGTCTAGGAACGTGGAGATTCTGAGCCCCATGAAACCTAAGAAACCCTCTGCGTACTCCCTGGCTGCCCTTCTTTCTCCGGAGTGACCCTGGGGGGGCCGAGGCAATCAGGCAGGAGAGATGTGGGACCCGCCGTGGGCCGTAGGGAGCGTGAATCACCATGTCCCAGAACCCTTGCCAGAGCTGAGCTTCCCGGGGCCGCAGGCCAGCCTGCCTGGGGAAGGGAATGCTGCTCTGGGACTCCGTTCCCAGCACCAGGATGTGCCTAAAGATAGCTGGGGCTCGGCTTCCTCGTGCCCTCTGCCCTTTGACTTCTGCCCGCTGCTGCTTCGTCTCAGGCTCAGAGCATACGTCCCCTGGGCACCCCCGTGGTTGCTGCAATTCTATTCCTGCCTCTTTTTTCAGTTCTGCTGGTGACCTTGGGCTGCGCTCTTTGGCTAGTCTCGGGCCCCAGTTTGGAACGGAGGCCTTCTCCATTCAGTGCCGATCCCTGGGAGACAGCCTCTGGGGAGCGCCCCCTCTGCTAGCTGACCGAGGTAGCTGAGCAGCACGTGATCAGGTGCTTGTTCCCCTGGGGGCACGTGGCTAAGGATGCACGTTTCAGACATCCCCCTCCTCTGGATGTCATGGAGGGGCAGGACCCAGGGCGCTGAGGGCATCCTGGTCAGTGGTTTCTGCTGCCATCTGTGCCCGGTGCACAGGGAGCGGGGCTCCCCGTGAGGAGGTGTCCTCATTTCCATCCACCTTTTTGTCTCTTGTTGTTGGTGGTGTTGGTGGTGGTGGTGGTGGTGATGGTGGGAATCTGAGGATATTTTTCCTTTGATTTTTGGAGAGAGTGGAAGGGAGGGGGAGAGACCGAGAGAGAGAGAGAAACATTGATGTGAGAGAGACACATCATTTGTTGCCTCCCACACGCACCCTGACGAGGGCTGGGGATCGAGCCTGCAACCGAGGTATGAAGTAGAGGTCCTTGATCAAAACAGAGACCGGGACCCTTCAGGCTGCAGGCTGATGCTCTATCCACTGAGCCAAACCGACGAGGGCTCCATCCTCTTGGGCTCTAGATTTGGGTGTGAGGACATGGGACCGCTGGGTCTCTTCAGGGTCCACAGACATCCCGTGACCCCCTTGGAGCTTCTGCCTGGCTCTTCATGTGGCCAGTGCCCCACGGAGGAGCAAGCTGCTTCCTAGCATGTGCCCAGGCCCACATGCCTGCTGCACGTGTCCCTGCCCCCACTCCCAGCCCAGATGGTCTCTGCCAGGCCAGCTCAGCTGCCTCCCTCACGCCTCAGCAGCTCCCAGGACAGGGCCCTGCAGGAACCCAGCTGGCCAGGGTGCCTCCAAGCCTGGGAGCAGCTGGGGTGCTTAAGGGCAGTGGGGGGGGGCGGTCCTTCCATGGAGACCTCATAGAGACCTCATACCTCTGTACACGTGGTGGGGAGGGATGGTGACTGGGGCTCAGAGGACAGAGCTGGAGGAGTGAAAGCTAGGACACAAGAGCCCCCCGGGTCAGCTTTAACCCTGCTGCCTCACACCAAGTACACCAGTTGGCGGCCCCAGGACCTCGCCCATTCATACAGTGTCTTGGGCAGCAGAGACCTTGGAGAGCCTCTTTGGTCTCTCCCCAGAACTCACTGGTTGCTTCTGTACTGAGGCAAATAAGAGCAGCGTCACCGGGGCCACAGCCCTAGATGCCAGAGCATCTAAATTCTCCCAGAAGGCTTTGCAAGCACCACAGATTGCCTGGGTCTGCTCCACCCTGTTCTGCTTTGACATGAGGGTTTGGATACCTCTTGTCTGCAGGATCCATCCCAGGGCCTGGCACACGGTGCATACTCACCCAGCCCAAGTCCCAGCATGTGGCAAGTGCTCAGCTAGCATAGGCTTGGCCACTCCCTTGGTAGAAGGCTGTTGCCTACTAAGCACTCACCTAGCACGAGTCCCAGCATGTGGCAAGTGCTCGGCTAGTACTGACTTGGCACACACTGGCCACTTCCTTAGTACAGAGCCCCTCACACAGTAAGCACCCATCTAGCACAGTGCCAGGCATATACTGGGTGCTCACCCTACTCGGGGCCAGGCCTACATTGGGTCATCACCTGACACAGAATATGGCACCCAGTGCAGGACCTAACATACCACAGGGGCTCCCTGGCTTGGGGCTGATACATGGTAAACGCACTCTAGCACACAATGGGACATGGCAGGATTGAACTTGGCACACAGTGGGCACTCTCTCAACACAGGTCCTGGCACACAGTGAGTGCTTTCCTAGCGCAGACCTGGATTACTGTGAATTCTTCCATCATTGGGTTTGGCTCATAGTGAGCACTCTGCTAACACAGGCCCAGGCCCATAGTGGGTGCTTTCTTTACATAAGGCCTGGCACAGGAGGTGCTCTCCTAGCCAGGACAACGTAGGCGTACAACTAGATCAGTGTTTCCCAAAGTATGGTACGCATACCCCCAGGGGTACGGGAAGAGTTTGGCGGGGGTACACGTTTCACCGGAGTTTGGTGGGGATATGCACTGCACCATGCTTAGCTGCGCCTAATTCTACATTCTCATGAGTACGAGGGGTACTCAGCGTTACGAAAATTACAGAAGGGGTGCACGTATGTCAAAAGTTTGGGAAACACTGAACTAGATGATCCTAGATGTGCAACTATCCTCTCCCCAGTGAAATGAACACTATCTAGATCCAAAGGATAAGGCCTATCCTTCCTCAAGCTTCCTCTCTAGACCCAGGGCCCTGCCCTCCCTTCTCCTTGGTCCCCTCCCCCCCCCACCCCCCTCAGCCCTGACACCCACCTGCCGGTCCTGTGCTCCCCTTCCCCTCAGACAGCTTCCTTGAAGCTCTCCTCCCATCCCAGCCCTTCTCAGTGCCAGCTCAGCAGCACCTTCCCTCAGGCTCACAGGGCACCACAAAGCCCCGAGACTCCTTGCCCCTCTGGAAGCAGGCCCACTCCTATTAAGAAAAGTCAGCGGTGGGGGCTGGGGAGCTGGCCTCCCTCAGTGGGGCTGGAGCAGCTGGATCCCACTAATGAGGCCTCATTACGGCCCGGGCCCAGCTGGGCTGCTGCCGCCTCCTGTCCCCGTGGCCAGAGCCAGAGAAAGCCATCCAGCCAGGGCCGCCTGTTCTGGGCACCCGGCCCAGGCCAGGCAGCGAGAGCCCAGGCCCACCCTGGGTGGAAGTGAGCATTTGGGCATCATGGGTGACTGGGCCTTCCTGGAGCCAGTGGCCCGGCCAGGGCCTTGGCCCTCAGTCTGAGCCTGCAGGAAGTCAGCGGAGCATGTCTGGGGACCTGGCTGCCTGAGGCTGGCCCAGGGAGTGGCGGAGTCCGTGGGGTCTGAGGCCGTTCTTAGAATACTTGCTTGAGCCAAGGCCCGTCTCCATCTTTTCCCCCAAACTGGGGATCAAAAGGTACCGACCTCAAGGGGTTGCTGGGAGGATTAAATGAGTTGCTGTCTATATACAAAGTGTTCAGGACAGTGTCTGGCTCATGGTAAGCACTTCATATGCATTATCTGTTACTAATTATTACTAATGCTCACTAGCTTCAATAATGAGTGGATAGCCGAAACCGGTTTGGCTCAAGTCGGTCTGCGGACTGAAGGGTCCCAGGTTCGATTCCGGTCAAGGGCATGTACCTTGGTTGCGGGCACATCCCTGGTAGGGGGTGTGTAGGAGGCAGCTGGTCGATGTTTCTCTCTCATCGATGTTTCTCTCTCATCGATGTTTCTAGCTCTCTATCCCTCTCTCCCTTCCTCTCTGTAAAAAAATCAATAAAATATATTTAAAAAATAATAATAATGAGCGGATATTATCCCCATTTTAGAGATGAAGAAACTAAGACCAGACATGTTAAGTGACCACATGTTGGTGAGAAACTGGCAGAGCTGGGGTTAGAATCTAAAGCCTGTGTTCCCCCACCCCACCTCCCCCCACCCCCCTTTTTTTTTTAATAAGTACGTTTTTATTGGTTTGGAGAGAGGGAGGAAGAGAGTGGGAGAGAAACACTGATCTGCTGCCTCCTTCCTGCGAGTCCTCCCCTCCGTGCACTGGGCATGAGCCCTGACGGGAATCGAACTGGCAGACTCTAGGTGCATGGGATGATGCTCAACCAGTTGAGCCACACCGGCCAGGGCAGGCCATGTCCTTTTTATTTCAGCGTCACCGTGCCATGCTCCCTTTGGAGTCGCTGCACTCACCAACCCCACCGGAAGGCTGTGCTTTACATCAGAGCTCACGCATGCTTCCCCTTGGCCAACGTTCCCTAAGATCCGATCCTGTGCCAGGCCCTCTGCCCGACAGTGAAGTTCCAAGAGCCACGGCTTCCCAGGGCCAGAGCCTCCTGCCCACTTCCTGGCCGCGGGCCGGCGGTGCTCACCGTCAGGACTGGTGACTGTGGCCTCAGAGAAGAGAAGAAGGTCTGAGTCACGTCCCATCCCAGTCACAGCATCACCTGCGGGACTCTGCCGGCCCACGCACACGCACGCCCAGAGCAGCACCTCGGTTCTGGGCAGCCCCGTACCAACCCCCACAGTCCTCATTCCACAGCCCCCTTGGTCTGGAGCCTGTGGCGACCCCCCTCTCAGCCAAGGCCATCTTCCCTCGGACAGGTGGAAGCACAGTTCCCACCAGAGAAAGTCAGTCACCTTCTCCTCCAAGGTGCCTTGCCATCTTGGCTATTGGGGACCCCTAAGTCTGGGGCAGGGAGCCAGCTCCGGGGCCCAGCAGCCCCAGCCCACGCCACTCTAAGAAGTCTGAGGTGCTTTGGAGCCACCCGACCCCCCTACCAGAAGCCCACCACATGCCAGGCCTAGGGGCTCAGAAGCATCTGAGCCCCAAAGGCCCAGCTCTGGGCGAGAAGTGCCCCGCCCTCCGACACTCTCCTGAGCTCGCTCTGCCTCGCTCTGTAGTTGTGTGTGTGTGTGTGTGTGTGTGTGTGTGTGTGAGAGAGAGAGAGAGAGAGAGAGAGAGAGAGAGAGAGAGCGTGTGTGTGTGTGTGTGTGTGTGTGTGTGTGTGTGTGTGTGTGTTTTGTTCCAATAACTTGCTGGGAACAAGAGAAAAGCACAACAAACCCCATGCCTCACTCCAGCTCTGGAGCACCCTCGCTGGGCCGCGTGGGGACTGGCCGGAGGGGGAGGGCCCGGGGAGGGGGAGGCCGAGCTCCGGGAGGAGATGAGGTGAAAGTAATTGCTGCTGCCCAGCCAGCAGCGGGAGAGGCCGGGGATGCGCAGAGCCGCCCGGAGCTGGCGGAGGTGTGAATGAGCGGAGGGCACGCGCGTGCTCCGCTCCCAGTGCTCACCCAGGATGGCCGCGGCGCACGGACCTGGGGCCCCCTCCTCCCCGGAGCAGGTCAGTCACCTTCCAGGAGGTCGGGCCCTGGTGCCGGGCAGTCTGAGAGGCTGCGCTGGGGGGTGGGGAGAGGGGCTGAGCGGGCTGTGCCAGGGAGGGGCAGGCACGGCCAGCGAGCGAGACAGACACCCGCCAAAGTGACCCAGAAAGCGGCGACTGTGCAAAGGAGTGCAGGAAGAGTTCGCTGTGTGGTGGGGACACGGGGGAGGCCGGGGGTGGTGGGGGTGAGGGCTCCCCCGGCCCGAGGACCTGCTGAGAATCTGCGCTGGGTATCAAAGCTGCATTGTCCAAGCTCCCGGGGAGACGGACCGGAGGTGCCCAGGAATTGTACTAATCAATACAGCCCCATTGTCTGCCAGGCAGTTCCTCCTATGGGGCGAGCGGGTGAGGGGCAGGGGACATGGTACATGGGCTCGGTGGTGAGGGTGGGGGGCAGGAGACGGGGCGAAACTCAGCTGGCAGGTGAGACCCTCCAGAATGGTCACTAGGGCCCGGGGAGGGTGGGTGCTGGCATGCCCTCGTCCCTGGAAGTGAGGGATGGGCAGGGCTGTCAGGCACAATGGGGCGGTTGGCAGCAGGGGTAAGAGGACCAGGAAAGCCACCCGCCATCCTGGAGGGCACCCTAACTTGACCTTCAGGAGGCCAGAGAAGGAGGGACCCCTGGAGAGGTGTGGGTTGGTCTGGGGAGAAGCGTTCTGCAGAGCTGCCCTCAAACCCTACCAGGGTCGAGCACCAAAGCCACTTCCTCATGCCAGCCCGCTGCCAACCAGCGGGGGTAGAGACCGCCCGCAGCCCGGAGCAGGCTGCTGGGCTTCTCTAGGGCAGAGGCAGGGCCCACCCAATGCCCCCCATTCCTGCCCCCAAGGCCTGGAGCAGAGCCGGGCATGACTGACAGGTATGTCTTCTGTCTGCTGCTCCCTAAATGGGCAGGCCGCTCTCTGCCAATCACAGCTCTGGGATGAAATAGCACAAGGCACGTCCTCGCCCTCTCACCTGCTGTATGAGGCCTGAACTGGAACACACACACACACACACACACACACACACACACACACACGGCCCCAGACTCGGGGGTGGGGTGGCTAGAGATTACCCTGAGGTTTTCCTTGAGGAGGAGGCACTAATCCTGTGCACGGATTGGCCTCAGGTAGACGTTCCCATGATCCTGCTCCTCTGGCTGCGACCTGGCTCTTTCCCATACTTGGACAAGAGAGGCTGGAACGCAGAAACTGGTTTGGCTCGGTGGATAGAGCATCGGCCTGCGGACTGAAGGGTCCCAGGTTCGATTCCGGTCAAGGGCATGTACCTTGGTTGCAGGCACATCCCCAGTAGGGGGTGTGCAGAAGGCAGCTGATCGATGATTCTCTCTCATCAATGTTTCTAACTCTCTATCCCTCTCTCTTCCTCTCTGTAAAAAAAAAAAAAAAAATCAATAAAATATATTTGAGAAAGAGAGAGAGAGAGAGAGAGAGAGGCTCAAAGGCTCTGTCACTGCAGAACGGGTGCTACCTGAGGGCCCGCCAGGCCCCTGGACGGTTGGGAGAGAACTTGGGGAACAAGAAGCGAGCGGTGTGAGGAGGCCGAGGGCTCTTCAGAGGCAGCCGCAATTTACCGTAATGCCGTTCTGCTTACATTTCCCCCCGGGGCTCCGAGAGAGTTGCCAGTGATCCGGACTTGGCTCACGGTCAGTCTGGGATGTGGGGTCTTGCCCGTTCTCCTCCGTAAAGTTTGTCTTGGAAGGACTGCGTCCCCTGAGCAAACCCTGGGCCTGCAGAGTCCCAAACAAGCAGCCCCCTGGGTCCCGGGGGGCCCGCCCAGCCGGGCCGCTCCAGGATTCCTGTGTCCTCCGAGGGCAGGAGGCGGGGGCTCACAATTCACAAAAATACCCGGGACGCTGGTCTGGGGGTGGGAGCCGGGAGCCAGCGCAGGGCCGGGGCCTGGAAATCTGGGTTCTCGGCGTCGTGCGTGGAGAGCGCAGAGTCCATCCCGTGGGGCTGGTCACCTCTGACAGCAGCCTTTGTGGCTTCGTTTCCTCTT